GTCTTTGTGTGCCCAGCACTACAGGCGTGCAGTGTCCTGGGCATCATGGCAAGAAGTGGGGAAGGAAGGGGTTGGGGGAGAACAGCTCTCTGAAATCAAGTTAATTCTTCCCATGTCAATGCCTGAGGCCATTCCTGCAGTGCACTCCCATCCCCTCCCCAAGCTCTGGTGAGCAGAAGTCAAAATATTTTTGCCAGGGGAGGTTCAGGTTGGAAATGAGGAGACATTTCTTCTCAGAAAGAACAGTCAGGCAGTGGGATGGGTTGCCCAGGGAAGTGGTGGAGTCACCATCCCTGAGGGTGTTCAAGGAAAGGTTGGACCTGGCACTTAGGGACACGGCTTAGTGGGTAATATTGGTTGTAGGGGCATGGTTGGATGAGATGAACTTAGAGGTATTTTCCAACCCTGATGATTGTATGATCTGCCTACGACTGCAGCGCTGCACACCCGGGGGCGAGGAGCACTGTCCCGGGGAAAAGCAGGGCACGTGAAGGAATAACAATACTTCACTCTTACGTAACTCTTGCCTAAAATACTTCAAAGTGGGCTCACAGATAAATAATTAAAGATAATACAGAATTAGCTGTCATTTTGGATGTCAGAAAATAAAAGTTCTCCATTGTTTCTGTGGCGGTTAGGTATTGAAACACCAGTTTGTGAGCTGAAGTGAGGCCATGTGGCTCCTGAAGCTGACCAACAGAACAAAAAATGTGTTCGCATAGGTGAATCGGTCCAGTCAATTTTGGGGCCAGAAGTTATTTACTGACAAAAATTCATGAGTAGCTCTGAATAATGAACAATTGAGAAATTTCAGATTCACCCACAGGCTGTTTGCAAGGGTGGGGAGGGGGAGGAGGAGAACCAACATTTATTGTATAACTTATTTGTGAATTAATCACTCTCATGCTCTCTGAAGCCGATAGGGTACTTGCAGAAATAAGAGTATTCATGGAAAAGACCAAGTCTTTAATGGCTCTTTGAGAATGGGAAATTCATTAGCTGAAAGTGCTGATTATGAATCAAAAGGATAGGGAGGGGAGAAAATCAAGTCATAATTAGTCACTTAAATTGCATCAAGTAGAAAGCAACTGATTTTAAACAAGTCCAAACAAAGGGGGAAATGATTCGTTCTGATTAAGTCAGTCTCTCTTGCCCTTTTAAAGATTTATGAATTAATGTCAATAAATTATGGCTCTTGGGACTCAACCTATAAAAACTGCATAGAAATACAGGACAATACAACATCAGAGAAGTGAATTAGACACAGTGGAACAGAAATTAAATGCATGTTTATTAAGGAGGTATAAAATGAGTCTCACGTCACCCAGATATTGACCAACTGTCTCTAGTCTAAACTCTCCCTCCTCTTTGCTCCTGTTGTTACTGATTCTCTCTCTGGCTGCTCTTCTAATGCTGAAGTCAGACCCAATTTGATCACTGATAAGCTTAATTACACTGCTGAAGGACTTCTTGTAAAACTAAGTGATCTGAATTAATTATGGTGCTGGTGAATTATGTAGCCTGCACACAGAGACCCATTCAGAGTTTACTCTCTTTCCCATTGCAGCATGTGATCTGAATTTCCTGGAATCTACCTTTCAGCTGCCCTCAAAGGGATGCTGCAGGGAAAGGCTGTGTCTGGGGGGGGGCGGGGGCGGGGGCGGGGGGGGGGGCTCTTTTCAAAGCAATGTTTTGAAAGGAAGGCAAAGGAAGAGCAAGCAGTGTTTGCTACAAAATGGGACGTGCAGGCATGCCACTTGTGGTGCCAGTGTGGTGGTATCATTATTGTTGTTGTCACTACTGCTTTTAAGGAAATACCAATAACATGCTCAGGGCTCTCTCTAGCAGACGTATTCATCAGAATTGTATCACAGTGGGCTCCTGGCTGGGACAGAAATGAGGCTTAGGAAAAGACTGACTGTGTTTAACCTAGAAGGTACTGGACCCCTGCTGGTTCGGTCCAAAGAGAGAAGAGTTAATAACACCTCATGGTAAGACTGATTTTATCCAGTGTTTCCCAGCATTTTGCATTAAAGAGGAAATTTTCCATTTTGTGTCCAGGTACTGGAGGTGGATAAACCCAGTTCAGCAAAGCACTTGAACAGATGCTTCAGGCTGGGTCCACACAAGTCCTGTTGAAATCTGTGAGACTTAAACACATTCTTGAGCTGTTTGTCAGAGACCCATGGGTCTGCTCAACATGTGGCATGTACTCTGGGGTTTCTTACAGCTGGCAGCCTCACCTCTGGAAACCATACATTGACTACTGGGCAAGGTTTATGAGCAGGTGGCAGTGTGGTGGTGCTAGCAAGGCAAGGAGTCCCTCAGCAGGGACCTCCCCAGGCTCATAGGACGGTTGAACTTCTGATCGTCCCTGCTAGGAAATGTGCTGAGCTTTGCCTGCTTGTTTTTCCTCCACACATCGAACGCTCTCAGAGAGGCCCGTCAGGCTGCATTGCTACCTGCATTCTGGATGCAGAAGGCTCTGCTTTACCAAACTGATCCATTCGCCCCGTCCTGCCCTGGTCTATTTTGGGTCCCCATAAATCTCCCACAGACATCACCTCTGTCACAGCCTGTTCCCCAGCCCCTAACTCTGTAGACGCTTCTTTGTTCCAAATGTAATTGCTCTTCATCCTTTTCTTCCTTTTTTCCTGCTGTCTAGAACCATAGCTCATCATCCTACACTTCTCATTATCTTAATTAAACCAAGACAGATCAGCGGCCTGTTCCATAACCTGACATTGCCCTGTACAATTTCTGAGCTCCAAAGATGTGAATTAGTGTTGATATACCTCCTTGGAGAAAGTTTGCACCTTGGTTCCCTCAACTCTTGGTAATGTGGTTGTCTGAGGAGGGCTGAGCTCCAAAACCAGCAGAGCACGCAGGCATGCCCATCACATGAGGCAAAACCTGTCTTCTCCACCACAGCCCAGTTCCTTCCCAGTGTCTCTGGTGCTGCTGTATGGCTGATTTGGGTAACTGTATTGCAAACTACCAGATCTATCTCCTAACCTGCTCACAGCACAGTGGGTTAATGGTTGTTTTGTTAGCTTTAACCACATTTCTGCATCCTAAGCTGCCACCTGGCAATGAACCTCAGCACCTAGGCATGGGGTGAGGGAGCCGGGACTATCCCTGCGGAGCAGCAGGGGGTGCAGCAGGCTGCCCACACTGCGTCCTCTGGCCTTTGGAGTGGTTTTGGACAATGCCTGGGAACAGCTTGTACCCTGCTCAAGTGCTTTCTAGAATCTGGCTTCTGGGAGAATGAGAAGGGGAAAAAAAGGAGAAAAGATTTCAAAGAGACAATGTTATATGGTCTTTTTTTATACCACTAAGGATAAGAGCGTTTGGATCACTTACTTATCTCAGCTTGTCACGGAGAAAGTCCTTGGATAAAGCTTCAGATTTCAGAATGGGGAAATGAGAAGAGGAGCACATGGGGCCGGCTGCAACCCGGAGGGGGTGTTGGACTCAGGAGCTGTCCCCACCATCCCCACAGACACACACCCGTGTTTGCAGACAGCCCTGAGCAGATATGGGATAGCCTTTACCTCCCAGCTCCGTGTCTGCACCTGTTGATGATAATAGCACTATTCGGTTCTTCCAGGAGAATTACCTGCTGTTTAATTAAGCAGTGTTTGTGCAGTATCTAGGAAGGCCCTGCTGCAAACATATGGCGAACAGCCCCAAGCTGCATCAGTGGGGCAGCTGCTATTTGCTTTGCACAACAGCAACGGACCGCATGGCGCGCTCCACCTGCTTCAGGATGAGTTATGGGAGAAGGGAGGGAGCAGCATCAGCACATCCATTTTTCACAAAAATCATTGAATTTACCCAGCCCCAGAGAGCCCCTGCAGCCACCCCAAGAAGGGGGTTTGCATCCCAGCCCCTCCTTCATTCTTCCCCGTAAGGAGCAGTGACATTTTATGGTGGCAGGATGGCTGCTCCATTGTGATAATGGAGTCTCAAGGACACATTACTGGGAGAGTTTACAGCCTGGCTGTTTTTATTCTCCAGGCTCAGGGCTTATCTTGCAGCCTTGTTCTTTACCTGAAGTACTCTCAGGGCAACAACAATCGGGGGCTGAATTGGATCTCCAGCCGGCGAGAGGGGCTGGGATCCAAACCTGCAGGAACATTAGCGTGGAATTAGACATGAGTCACCAAACACCTTCCCCTAATGAGCTTTGAAAGTGGAGCACCATCTGGCCTCACCTTCAGCCTGGGTTATGTCAGCACCCTGCAGTGCTCAGGTGCACCGGGGTGGGGGGGGCGGCCTTCCTCGGGTAAGTGTCCTGGCCCTCCGCACGGACTCAGCCCTTTGCGCTTTGAGCCTTGTCCTGAGTGGCTTCTGCTTTGGGGAGAGCAGCTGGGGGAGCAATCCCCAGAGAAACACAGTAATTCAGTGCCAAACGTGGGCTGGAGAGAGGAGGGCCGTGCAGCCAGGCCATGGTGATAGTGCCTGAGCCTGCAGTGCAGGGAAGCTGCTGGGCACCAAGAGGGCCACAGATCCACCACAGGGAGATTTTCCTGCGGTGCAATTACACCTTTCATACCTCGAGTAAAGTAGATTTTAGTTCCCAGAGCAAACAACTGTCTGCTCTGGTTGTACAGGGAAACGCGGTTCTGATGGTGGCCGACTCCAGGGAGGTGGTGGAGTCACCATCCCTGGAAGTCTTCAAAAGACGTTTAGATGTAGAGCTTAGGGATATGGTTTAGTGGGGACTGTTAGTGTTAGGTTAGAGGTTGGACTCGATGATCTTGAGGTCTCTTCCAACCTAGAAATTCTGTGATTCTGTGATTCTCCAAACACCGCCAGAAATTTTTCCATTTTTACTCCAAAGTGAAAATACATTTTTAAAACATGCCATTTCCCCTGCTGTCTGGCCACTGCAAGACACTCAGCAATATTAGCAAAGCTGATGGCTGCTAAATGGCCTTCTTTCCAACAGTAATGAGCTGCATTTAATAATGAATTAAACATCATTAACCGGGAAGTTTTTGGTGAATGCTTCTTTAATATCATTGTGCAGCAATTATCACTGGAGTGAATAGCTCAGCTCTGTCCAGCTGCACCATTTGTCATTATTTGGAGGAGCAGTAAAATCACTCTGGTCCAGGAGGGCTAATATCGTTAAGTGACACTGAGTAAAGTTTAACAAGTGTTTCTGTTCATCATGCAGCCCAGAATAACGAAGATGCTTTCTTCTGCTCCACCTAGCTTCTGAATCCAGATGACCCAGCTAGCCTGGTGATGTTTCTGCAATCAATAAAGGCCCCTCTCAGTATGGTCTAATTCATAGGCACATGAAGTTTCTTTATTAAAAATTGATGCACACAATTAAACAATGATAAAAGATGATAATGGGCGTAATGAGGCTGTTTGCTATTTGCAGTCTGTATTATACAGTGCCATTCCACAGTAATGAGACCTTCCATACTTACTTGTCATTTATAGTTAGAGGGTCGGAGTCATGAAAACATGCTTGGTGCTCTTCCAGAAATCCCTCCCCTTAATAGAATAGTCTCTAGAAAAATAAAATAAAAAATCAAAGTAACAATTCACTGGTATTTGTTTGATGTTCTCTTACTGCTGTAGCTGAGTGACATTTTTTAGCAAATTGTGTATTTGCCAAAATACTCCAGTTCAGGAGGAGCTGGGGGCATTGCCCAGCTTGCAGCCACAGGGAGTTGTTCATGTTGCAGCAATGAGATGTGTGATTCAGGGGTGTCTACACATTTTCTCTGGACAGTTGCGAAAGGAAGTGGTTCATTCTGATATTTTCTGAATGAAATGGTTCCTCCCTCTTTTTGAAATAGTACTAAGGTAACTTTTCTTGTTAAGAAAATAAATAATAATAATAGCAACAATAGTAACAATAGTAACAACAGTAACAACAACAACAACAACAATAATAAAAGCCTAATTTCAGTAATCCAGAACAAAACAAAATTTTTTCTTTAGGCAAAGCGAAATATTTTGGGTCAAGCCAAAGTTCTGTTTTTCAGTACATTCATTGAGCTGAAGAGTCCATTATTCAGCAGCACTGCTCCTGTCATCCCCACCTCCCAGCTGGAGCGAAGGCTCAGCCTCCCTTGCTGCCTTTTCAGTTGGGAAGGGTGAAATGCAAGGAAGAAACTCTAACGTGGGGGACCCTCCCAAGGGTTTTTCTTCTTGTAAGCTCTGCGGTGTCTTAGCTGTGTGCCAAGTATAGCGGCAGAGTGATAAGGCATTTCAAACTACAGCAGTTTCTTGGGTCTGTACCTGTGTGTAACATTCAGCAGTGATGGCCCTGCAACAAACAAATCCAACCATGAAGTAGCTATAGCAACAGCAATGTGTAGTAAACATGTAGGCACCAAAATGTTTATGGGCAGAAATGGATACATGTGATTTAATTGATTTTTAGGCATCCTGGGCAACTGGAGCTCCAGGCTGAATACAGCCATGAGCAAACTATAGCTGCAAAATATTACAAAAGGGTGAAATTATTGCATGAATTACTTGCCAGATGTCCTACCTGCTGGTTTCCAGTAGGAAAGGTGATGTGCTACTGATCCCATTCGTGGGACCTGTTGGAAAGTGGTGGCTGTGGGGCCAGGAGGTCTTCCCCAGGGCAGCAGGGTTCCTCAGTTCCCAGTCTGTGCAGTGTTCAGTTTACGTGAACATTTGTGTTCCCAATTGCAGTGCTGTTAAAACCCTGGAGGGGTTTCTTCCTCTCCCCCTGTGCACCCCTTTGCAGCCTCAGCAGCAGCCCAGTCTCCGTAGCACAGGTACCAGCCTGGGCAGGGGGGCACAGGAGCTCCACTCACTGCTGGGATGCTCCTGCCAAGGCTGCAGGTGCTGAGCCACTCGGGGCTCTGTGCAAACACCCGTTTACTCCCCACTGGATCAGGCGTGAGCACAGGCTGATCATCTCCTCTTTCTTCCTGTTCAATGATCAAAATATTTACAGCTCTATGAGTGGGGCTGGCAGCAGCCCCAAAACTTTGTTCTTGATAGTAAATGTCACATTTAATATTGATGATGTGGGCTACTCAAGTCATACTCGGATGAGTTATTAACCATTGGGAATGACATCTATAATAGGAAACTCCTAAAATGTGAGCTGCCTTATATGTGCACATCACTTCTTTTTTATAAAAGATAGAGAAATCCAGGCAATTCACTAAAAATATATGGATGCTGTTCATTGTTATATGGCCAGGAGAACCGATCTGCTGTCCAGGCTGGTTTATTGTTCACCTTAGCAGTGCATAAAACTGTGCCCTGCGGGGGAACAGAGCAGTTATTTTATTGTCTGAGCAAACAGAGCAGGGAGCAATGCTGCGCCGTGCCACCGGAGCCAGGTCCCTGCTGCCGCTGGCCCCCAGCCAGCCCAGCTGCCTCGCGTGCGGTTCTGCTTCTGCTGGTGGAACGGAGCACGCTGGAGGTTGGCACCTTGCTGCATTTTCCTGAATTGTGCAACTCTTGAATTTTCTTTTGATTGTGCACTGAAATTAAAATAAGCAGTTTCACAGGGATTCAGGCCAGCACTAATATAGTATGAATGAGTTGGGCGCTGCATTTTAAAACCACTAAGAAATAGTTGGGTGCGTAGTAAAACTAATTTGTAGTTGATGTTCTACTGGGACCTACCTCGAAGAGACTCTGTACTTTACCAATATTATAGAAACCAAGAAGGGAATATAAAGTTACACAGAATGTGAGCATTTATAGCTTGTCATAAAAGGGTTTCTCATAATTTTTAGATTAAATTCTCTTCTAGGGTATGTTGGTGCAAATGTTGAGTATTCACAGAAATTCAGTGATTTGATCAAACCATACTATCAGCTTCATCAACCACGGTGTTAATCAAGTCATTGGATTTGATATGAATATTCCACATCTCACTGCGTGATTCACACGTTACCGAGATGAGTAGATGCTCTGGGCTGTGGTGTGGATGGTTATTCATTAAACCTACAAATCCATTTAAGCCACCAGTTTTGCAAGGCTCTAAAACACAAAGAAAGTTCTATAAGGAGTTGTGTTGCCCATACTGGGGAGGTGTGTTGTATGGCAGCTTCAGCAGAAAAGGGACTGAGAGTACGGACAGACCCAAGCTGCTGCATTTGATGTGTTTTCACATCGCTCGCAGCCAGCTAACAAGTTTCCAAGGAGAATACATCTACTGTGCCCTATAGTTGGCTGAAAAAAAAATAAAAAATCAGAGAAGTACAATATTGCATTAATCTTCACTTTCAAAAATAGCAGTATGGGTTTCAAGATGAAGGGTGGAAATGAAGGTAGAGGAAGCTGCAGCACAATGCGAGAAATAGCTATTCCTCTCATGGTGCTTCTAAAGCTGTCAGAGGCCACTTTGCTTCATTCTATGTTGCTTCTCTAGTAAAGAAAAATGCAAAAGCCACAGCAGAGGCTGGTCCAAGTGCACTCCGGTGCGACCTGGAGCCCCCTGGCAGCTCCTGGCTGCAGCCCTTCTGGTCCAGCGGGGGCTTGCAGCTACTTCAGGTAAAAGAGGCAATAACTATCTGCTCTTCTCACTTCTGTGGTCTCTTAGCACGTCACAGGCTTGCTGTGTGCCAAAGTCTGCCCTGACTCATTCCTTTGCCCAAGCCAAGAAAAGCCAACCTATTTGAGCAGCAGCTATTAACCTTATTTTACAGATGGGGAAACTGTGCACAAAGAGAATAAATTATTTACCCAAGGTCACAGAACAAATCCAAAATGCCATAATTTGGAAAAAGACCCAGAATGCCTGATTCTCCTTCCTGTGCTTTAGCAGCAAGTGCTATTTTTCCTCTTGGCTGTGACTTTCTCTCCCTCGGGCATGCCGTCATCCACTTGCACCCCTCTCTGGACCCTTTCTCATTTCATACCCATCCCACTTCTGCCTTCCTGACTCAGCAGTGCTCCGGTACACACCGAACCAGTCAGCTTCGTAGCATTGTGTCTGGCAAAGTAAGATTTGCATTTGACTCTTAGTAGTCTAAATGCAAATTACACACTTGTGTTGAGGTGCCAATTTATACTAATTTGTGCTCTACTTGGCTTTGGTAAAAGCTACCTGAGAGACTACAGCTTTTTTTAACCTTTAATAACGACAGGGCTTTAAGAGCTTGTTCTGTAAAGTGGTGGAACTGATTGTTTCATCAGCCCAAATTGCCAGAGAGATAAGCTCAGTCTATGGCCACACTCAAGTCTTTCAGTCCTGTCCACTTCCAGCCGCCTGGGTGAAGTGGGAGATAACTCAGGTTGTCCTGGTGGCCCTGCCAGGGGCCCTTTTGCCTGTAATCAAGTGTGAAAGCGTCAAGAGCAGATAATACATCCAAATGATCGTCAGCGGTATCTTGGTCAATTCTAACTCCTTGGTGCTTTATCAGGGTGAGGCTTTTCACAGGACACAACACACGGTGTACTGCCAAAGTCTGCAGGTGAATGTGCCACATTTCTGTGAGGCATTGTCAGTCGGGAAAGAAAATACATTATCAAACTTTTAAAACATTTTGGCATTATTTTTGCAGAATCAAATCAGAAGTGAATTTAATGTGCAAGACAGGGAGCAGCCAAATGAAATCCTGGATGTGGTGAAGGTCTTAGGAAAAGCAGAAAGGTCTATCAGATGAAGGAGCAATCACCAGGGTTAGAAGTTAACTTCCTGCAAAAGAAAATGTATGTAAATAAAAAGATCACAGGCACAGGGTATAATTTTGCCAGATGCAGTAACTAGAGGGCAATCAGCATGAACCAGGTGTGCAGTGAGACCTTCCAGAGCCCGCATGCGTGCTCAGCCTGGAAGCAAAGAGCTGTATTTCCAGCATCTCAGTTAACACCATTTCCTAGAAATTCACAAGCTTCCAATAAGAGACTTTAGGATGATTAAATGTTAAAGAAGAAGAAGGAAAAGAAAAAGAAAAAACAGAAAAGTACTATTTCTCCCTGGCTTTGCAGCTTGCATTCAGGGAGAGGAGCTTTGTGACCTGGAGACCTTCCATGCCCCAAGGCACAGCAAAGCCATGTTTCCTTTAGCAGACACAAAGGGGTGTGCAAGGCCCTCTGAGCCTCACAGGAGTGTGCAGATGTGCTTGGCTGCCTTTCCTTGGTCTTCTGAGAGCCATCTTGAGATATGTTGGGAATGACAATGACGTCCCAAGAGCTGCCAAAATATCACAAGGAGCAGCTGGCAAAAAATGTTCCAACCTCCCAGTGCCCTTAATATGCCGTAAACAAATCTGCTTCGTTTAAGCTACACACAAGGTGGGTAGGAGACTTGCTCCCAGATTTATGAGGTTTAATGGTTATTATTGCCCTTACCAAAAATAAGAAATGTAAAGCACTTAAGGAACAAATATCACGGGGATGAAAATACTTGAAGCCTTCTCAAGTTGTTGCTAATGTTTCAAAAAGACCTAGAGCTTCTCTGGAAGTCTGTAAAGGAAAACGTGTCACAAAACGGCTTTCTTTTATCTTTCTTGCCAGTCAGAACAGCAAGAGACTGTGCCATCGGTGCATTTGCCACAGACCACAGGTAGAGGAATGAGGTATTCCCACCTTTTGGCTTAAGGTTTCAGGTACCTACCTTCTGCCAGCCACTCCACTTAAGTAATAATGACCAAAGCCAGCTCATTTCTTAAGCATTAACAACTCCCAGGAATACTTGAGCATCTGGAAACTAAACCAAAGGATGCTGCAGCAAGTCCCTCACTCCCAGGGAAGCCTTGAGGTCAGGGTTGGTGCCCTCATTTACAGGATTAAAATCCCAGAGTGTCCCAGTGCGGAGGTGGCTGAATTCCAGTGGGGAGGAGAGCAGCCCAAAGGCAAGGACACATGGCCTTGCCAGCAGTATGGAAACCGCCTGGCTTGGAGCTGCTATGAAATCACCATGAGTTATTACTACAGGACCCTGACAGCTCACAGCGAAGCAGTCCTGAATTATTTTGCAGTGCTCTTTTTTATAAGTTCCTGTTGCACAAGTGCAGGTTGCAGAGAGAAGGTCTAGCCCTGGTCTGTGGCTTTGCCTGGGAGTTACAGCTAGGTAGGTGGGTGCTTTGTTACACCAGGGATAATCAGTGCTTATGTGCATGTGAAAAACCCTTACACCACTTTCCTGCTCTTTATCTTCATGGAAACTTAATCTTGCATTCAGGGTGTTAAGGCAAGCAGTAGAAATCTCTCCCATCTGCATTCTTGCTCCTCTCACCCTCACATTTCATTCACTAATGCACCGAGTGGACATTTCCAAAATGCAGCTGCAGGCACCTTTTCTGAAGAGCCACCCTGCTCCTGCAGCCTCCCGCACCCCAGAACTGCAGCCCAACATAAGTCATCATCTCTCTTGCTGCAAGGCTTGCCCCAGCCTGGCAGGGCAGGGATTAGAGCTTGGGCTGGCTCTTCTGGTCCCAAACGTGCTGCAGCCCTCAGGGCTCCTCTTTCTTCCTTCTTTTTTTTTTTTTTTTTTTCTGTAGGAAAGGACTGCCATGGTGTAGGTGTCCATCTCCTGATAGTTCCAGCTGCCTTTTACAGTGTTGGTTAGCCCTAACCTAGACCAGGATTTCTTTTGCTTATTTTGCTGATGCCTAGTCAAGCCCATAACCCCATTTCTCAGGCATTTAACCCTGTGCCTGTATAACACAGGAAATTGGAAGGCACAGCTTGGCATGACGGGGCAGCCAGGTGTGACACCCATATATGAGCACAGGGCCCCAGGGGGTTAGGATCTAGGAGCAGTTGACTTCACCAAGCAGTAGGAGCAAGGGCAGGTGTAGAGCCTGACTACCTGTGTGGAGCTGGCCCTCGGACTCGCTGTACCTCTTTAATTCAAGTGGTGACTCACGGCCTGGAACTATTAGGTAGATGGCATATACAGTTAGCGAGTGGTGTTTTTCAGTGCTCATTTTACTTATTGCATTATATTTTGATTTATAATTATATACTCAGAGCATTCCTTTCCTGGGCTCCGTGTGTCCTTGCCAAAATTAAAAAGTACAGTTAGCAAAACTAAAGCCAGCAGATGCTCAGAGCTCTCGGTCAAAAATAACCAGCCAGAGCTGACTCTTTTTTCCACCAGTTCTTCATACATTTCCTGTTCTCCCTGCGTTTTCTTTCCCATGGATCTCAGGACAAGGAGAGCAGCCCCCAAACCAACTGCCTGGCTCCCCAACAGCAATGCAGAGAGCAGCAAAACAGCTCCAACTCCTTCCCCAGATAAGGAGCAGTATTTGCTGGTAGTCCCAAGCCTACCAATTTCATCTACTTTGCACTCCTGGGAGTTGTTAGCGCTGGGAGGGAGGTTTGTGTAATTGCTGGGTGGGATTTGCAGGTGCCTTTGGGAGGTGATGCAGCACAGCGATTTGGTATCTGCTGGACTTTCTTCTTCACATACATTCAGCGTCCTGTGAGGACAATCGGGGGCACGTGGGGTGGGATTTCTGGAAAGACAACAAGGAACAAACTGTATAGCTGGTGTCTTACACTGAGGTATGTGTACAAGCAAGATAAATCAGACTAGCTCCAGAACCAGTGCCCTCTCCTTTCCTGGGCAGTGCTACCAGACAAGATGGAGCCAGGAACTCAGAAGCTGCTTTTCCAGTCCTCGCTTAAGGAGTCAGCTCAAAGGGCTCTGCTGGAAAGGGCTCTGCAACCAACACCAACAAATCATCCACTAAAAAGTCCTCCATGGGGTTTTAGACAAGGTGAGGCAATATTTACAGACTTGCCTCTACCAAGTATGAGTGACAGCTGGCAGGACGGCATCCAAAGAGGCCGTCAGAGAGTTATTAAACCTGCCAGCAAAGAAAGCACAAATGTCTTAATTATTTCAGGCTTCCCTTGGAGATCAAAGAGCAAAGCTGACATGGGGCTGGTAGGGAATTGTCTAGATTTAGTGTGAGGCAAGAAGAGGCTAACGCTACGATTACTGCTGGAAATGACTGATGGGGGAACACCTATGGAGCCAGGAGCTGATTAAGGATAAAAAAGCCTTGCCTTTTGCTATTAGTGAAGTAAAAAGGAGACACAGTCCGGAGGCAGTAGGCTTTCATGGGAATGCTGCAGCAGGGAGCAGTGCAATGCTCCAGTGCGGTCCCAGCAGCTCCCACAGCGCGATGGCACAGGTTGGCTGAAGAGGCTGCTGGGAGAGATGCTAATTGGGGTGAAACTTGGAAATTTCTGTGTAATTCCTGAGTCTTCTTGAAAGCTGCCCATAGAAATTTAAGTTCCCGAAAATGTAAAATGTTTTTTTCATGTTGCATTAAAATTTTCATCATTTAAAACGTAGCTTTTCAAACACAGTAAGAAAAGATGATACGCACCATGTGTCACCCAGGAGCTACATTTCTAGGTACATGCATGATCAGGTCTTGTCCAGTTGGGAAGGGCACCAAGCCACCCGAAGGCAGAGGAGTCTGTGGGGGCAAAGGAGCAATATCCTTATGGCATAGCTGTTAAGAGTGAGGAGGTGCAGGAAATGCTTTTCTTGTCTGAAATAATTTATAGAAGGATTTGAAAATTATTCTTTCCCAAATTGGGCGATTTTCCCCCACAGACCCTATGTTTTGAGTCTGAGTATTCAAGACATTTTATTTCAGTATTTTCAGACCACTCTATCTCAAAATAAATAAATAAATAAATAAATAAATAAATAAATAAAATCCTGATTTATTTAAAATTAATTAATAAAACTAGGAAAAGAAGGTATTTTGAGCTCAAAGGGGAACTTTTCATTAAACACTGTTGAAAGGGAGAGTTCTGGACATTCAAAAATATGCATGTGTTTTTAAACCAGACCTTGAGAAGCCAACTTTTGTTCCCAGAATATTCCTCCTTTGATAAATGAGCACATTGTGACAAATGTTGCTGTAATATTTCTGGCCTGGTCACTTTCAGAGCAATCCCACGGATGGGTCAGGTGTCCCCGCACTGCTCCTGGAGCACAGAGGCACGGGGTGAGGCAGCAGGAGGGGAGCTGCCTGCATCTGCCTCTTCTCTGCACAGCCTTAGGTGGGCCACGGCCTGGCAGCACCTCATCAACAACAAATGCACTCAGAGACAGCCGTGGCCTCTCGCTGTGTGATTTTGTAGCCGGGGAATCTTTATACAGAAACCAGCCCAGGCTGCCAGAGGAATAAGGTCAGTACACAGGCTGGACAGCACACAGCAAAGCTGGATAGAGGGGGGCTTTCCCCTCTGCTTCTCATGCAGCCACAATTTCTTTTCCCACCAGTACTGCTGGCTGCTGACAGGCCTGGGGAGCATCCACATCCTCAGTCCTAGGGAGAGCTTTGCTTTTTTGGGGACAGATTTTGACTTTTGTTGAACGAGCACAACTATAGCTGCAATTTTTGTGTGTTGCTGAAGCTTCCAGACAGCTACTCGTGCTTCCTGAAGGCAGAGGGAAACCCAATACAGTTGGTATCCAAATCCAGCAGAGAACTGTACCTCTGGCTCCAGGACAGCCTGATTCCTGGAGATCTGCTTTTGTTAGGTCGCTTTAAAGAAATAGCAGTTGCCTTTGTTGTGATAGAGTTGCTTGAGAATTTATCCATGTAACAACTGAGACAGGAATGTAAGAGGATTATAATAATGTTTTCTTTGGCTTGTGTGGGAGGATGCCATTTCTGCTTTGGTCAGTTCACTGATAACTGGGCTCTTCAGCCAGCAAGCAACTGCGTCTCTCTGGTGTGGGTCTTTGGAACGGGGGGGATCTCTCTGATCAAGGCAGTGAAAGGATAAAGTATCTGGTTGTGGTGACTGAGGGGGTCCAGGCGATGTTCACTGCAGGGTGGCACTGCAATGGGAACTCCTGAGCTCTCGCCACCCTACAGACCCTTGCCTGCAAAGGCAGCTCCATTTGGCAACACCAGAATCTGACCTCCTTGCCTGTCTGGAGAAGCTTTTGTGGTGCCCTCAAAGTTTGTTCTGCTGTTTTAAAATGAGTTTCAGCACCCTGGGCATTAACAGGGTTGTTGCCCAGTAAAGTCTGTCTGTGAAAAACTTTTAGTTTTTTGAGCGGACTGGAAAAAAATAAAGTGATACAATTTCTACAGATATGAAAAAGAATTTCTAAGAATTCTGTTGATAAAAAGCACCCTACCAGAAGTTACTTACATAACACCTTGCTGAGATTTCTGTTACTCAGAAATTCTTATTGCCTCAATTCCTATAAAATGAAAGTCCAGGGCTGTTTTTTTTTTCCAGGACGGTTGGCTCCTGACCACAGGAGGTTTTGGAAAGGGGACAGAACACGGCAGGGCACCCGCTCGTGGTGTTAGTGGCCTCAGGCACAAAGCCACCAGGAGGTGTAGCAGCTGACAGCCCCAGCTCCTCACAGCAGCAGGCTCTAAGGTGGAGGCAGAGGCCTGGCACATCTGCAGGAGGAGACCTGGAGGGTGAGGCTGCAGCTCCTGCAGAGATGTAGGAAGCTCCGCTTGAGCCTGCCCTGGCCCCCTTACCAGGACTGCCCAGCTGAATGCTGCTTACGTGCTGCTGCATGTGCCCTGGTAGTGATTACTCAGCTAGGTGGGCACCAGGACACATCACAGACAGCTTCTTCAGCACTCATCTTGGATGCAGAGATGTTATTCTTCCCAAACGCCATGTGCCATCCCTTTGAGCACGGACACCGCAGCCCATCGCTGTCTGCTATAATGGGACCAGACACTGACCTCTGTGAGAGCCACAGGGACCTGTGGAAAGAGGCACTGCTTCATATGGCTGAAACTTCCATAATTACTGAGCTGCAATGTTCCTAAATTCCTTAATTACATTAAAACAGTGATCAGAGGTTTAAAAACTAACCTCTTCTACCTGATGCCTCCAGTGCAGCCCCTGCCCTGGCACAGCTCTGGTGAAGTGCAGAGAGATTCTGGGAGAGGATCTGAGCTCCCAGGGCAGGGCACCAGTGCTGGTGGGTGCCCTGGGGGCTGCAGGGCAGCCTCCTCCTTCCCCATGGACTGCAGCAGGAGCTAGGAGGCCTGGGGTCCTTACCCCTGGTGTGACAGCAGCACCCAGAGCCATGGAAAAGCCATCAATCAAAGTTTCAGCTTGAACTTTGATGCAGACCTGCCAGGTCCATGTCTTGGAGCAACTTAAATCTCCACCCAGAACACATGAAAGTAGATTAGGAAGCATGAGAGTTCCCTTTTAGAAATCAGTATCCACCTCTATCCCCCCTGCTCAGCCCAAAGGACGCAGGCAGTTCATGTCTTGCACACAGCAGCACCCAGATGGTGCTCATGGGGCTCACCTGGAGCTCGGGTCTCTGGAACATCAGGCTCCCCCCATCCTGTTATTTCTAAAACACTTTGGTTTGGGACAATACAGAATACCAGCGGATGTCATTAGGTTGTGCTACTGGCACATGTGAGCTGGGATGGGCTTCTGCCCTCCCCCTGCACTGCCCGGACCATTCCCTGGGCATTTGTCCCCCTTGGCCTTGTGCTCCTGTGGGCTCTGCCCGGCCCCGTGGTCCTGAGGAGCCAGCCTCGTTGATCTAGCTATTTTCCTACTCGTGTCAACATAAATAAACCATATCCCCTTTAAGCTACCTACAGCTTTTGACAACTACAGTGATGTAAATAAAGCAGCTAACGCAGATGCTAATATTAATTCGCATGACCCAGTTGTGCTTCGCTAATAGTATCTGGGTTACCAGGCAGGCGAGGCAAGAACACAAAATATTTCACTTGTCTCTGTCTGTTACACCAAAAAGCAAGCATCTGGAGATATTAATTTCTACAGCTAAACCTCAGAGGCACCCTCCATTAGGAAAAGGCAGGGAAAAGGCCTGAAAAGGTCACAAAAATCCACATTCGGTGAGGGTCAGTGGCTAAGCCATGCACCAGCTGGTACAGCACCCCTTGGTGCGCTCTGAACATACTGCAATGTAACCAGGTCAGGGCTCATCCTGTGTGGGGCTGGGCGTGCATTGCACAGACTGCTGTGGCACTCAGAGGTGAGCTGCTTGCAGGACCGAGCCCTGTGAGCTCTGTTGTGGTTTGTTACAGCAGTATTTATGCTGTTAGTAGCAACAGCAAGACTCTTGTGCGACTGCAGGACAATCAGCCCCACAGCCTGTGCGCTCCTGCACAACCCTTGGCTCCTGCCCAGGAGCTCCACTGGCGTTTGGCTTTTGGGAGAGCAATTCAAAGGCTGTCAAGGCTTACGTGTGCGGAAAGGGAAAGGTGAGAAACATGGATTTTGTCACCTAGCTGTACGCAGCTGAAACAAAGTGGCTGGGAAATTCAGATCCGCCCTGACATCCCCCGTACAGCCGGACACAGCTGCTCAGCTCTCGGTGCGCGTGGGCGCTCACAAGGCTTGCACTGATGTTCAGCACAAGTGGTCCACGGGAGCACCAGGGCTGCTGCGACCCAGCTAGTTTTTACTGGCATTGTGCTTCTCACAGCAGGCTTGGAGGCTTAATTAAGCTTCTAGTGTTCTGTAAAGTTCATTTCACTGTTTGGTGGAGGACGGTTTAGGATAAGCATAATAGGATTGCTGCTGCTATATACAGCCACATAAGCCAGGAAGTCCTCATAATGGGCCTTTACCTTGTAGGAAAATCTTTTCAGAGGATGCTTTTTATAAACTGTACAGTTACGCATGCTATGAGTGTTTGGGGGAAAGACATCCTTCTGTACGTCGGTCTGCCAGTACCAGCCCAGGTGAACGCTCTGCAACAGCACGGGCTTCACAAAACCCACTGAGGGTGCTAGTTGTGCTTGCTGCCCTGTGGCATGGTCTTTCCTTTTAGTCGCCTCACCTGCTGATGATCCTGGGGCTGGAGCTCCATGGGTGGAGGAGGCGATGGCTGCATTCCTGGGGGAAGTTGCAGGAGATGCCCCCAGAGCACAAAGGGGCACGCTGCACTTAATACAAGACATGTTTTTAAAAGCACCAAGTGCTGACCTCTCACTTGGGCTGTCCTTATGGTTCTTAAAAGAGCTGCCAGCTTGAAAAGCCTACACCAAAACACCCTGGCAGATCAGGATGCAGCACCAAACTGGTGGAGAGGGGCCAGAAGGCATCTATAGCACCCACGGAAAGCAGGAGACCTCTTCCCACTGGCTCTGCTCACCAAAACATTCAGCCCGCTCCTTAGCATCTTTCTTTAATGTCAGGTTGATTGGTGCTTCAGTGAGCTCTTAGAAGAGGAGGCTAAGAGCAGATGGCAGAAATGTGGGGGGTGCCTTGATCCTCTGGGTATCAGCCAGGCTCAACACAGTGCCTCGGGGCAGGGGCACGGAGAAATGCCAGCGGGTGGAGAGACAGGGGGGTTTCTGGGGCTCCCTGGCTCTGCAGAGCAGCACCATGCTGTGCAAGGCTTTCACATTGCCCCAAAGCACAGGGACAGAGCTCAGGGACAAGCAAAGCATCCTGCTAATGCTGCTCCCAGCCGGGCCGATGCGGGGTGGTTTTCTTATCTGTGCTGTTTCTGCAGAGCAGCAGGTAACTCACAGATAGAACAAGCAGTGCTTATACACACATGCAGACACTTAGGAGCTATTCTTAAGCTTTCCAAATCCCTTAATATACCCTATGTATACAGTTTGGAGTTTGTAGATTTAGCATGATAGATTGATTTCACATGCTATCTCAATGTGAAATGACATTAATAACTAAATTCT